AGGAGTTGCTTTTCTGTGCTACTTTCAAGATTCTCTTCTTCTTTTGCTTTCAATGATTGGATGACAGTGCATCTTCTTGCAGCTCACTTTGAATTTTCTAGTTGAGATGTGTTGAGCTTCCTCTCTTCATATCTACGTGAGGGAAATTTTCAGGCACTATTTTTTTCAAAAATTCCTTCTACTTTTTTTTTCCATTCTGCCTATTGTGCTACTCCAATTATATGTGTGTTGAAACACATGATTGTATCAACCAGAGCTCTTACTCACTATTTTGTTCTTTCTATTCTCAGGCATCATAGTCACAATTAACCTATCTTTAAAAGTGTTTATTTATTAATTTTCTTCTCAAATCTGCTGTTGAAATCTTTAGTAATTTTTTTAAATTTTTTAATTTTAGTTTTAAAAAATTATCCTTTTAGATTCCCAGGATATGTAAGATATTTCAAGTATTTCCTGTTCTTTCTGTCCAAGTTTTTAGTTCGTATATTTTTGCCCTCAACTTTTGTTCCTTGCCAATAGGTAGCAGCAGCCAATGTACCTTTTCTCTAAATATCTTTGACAAATAACTTCTCAGTGGCTGTCTCAACACTAATGGAGTTCTAAGTTAGAATGGCATAGAGGCAGATTCTTCAAAAAGAAAGAATCACAGTCCTTTGAGAATATAGTCTGGTTTGCCTTCTTTGGTATGAGAAACCTATACTTGGAAAGTGGGATGTTGCCTTCCAGAGTACTTCAGAGCCAGAGAGTAGGGTATGGATCAGGGTAAGTCAATACTTCACAAAGCTTTCTTAGTGATATCCAGGGTGGTTTTTTTCCCTTCATTAAGCATTCACCTTGTCAGTTTAAACTTGTTTTAGTCTTAACATATCTGATAATTTTGACTATTTTTTGCTGGTTTCTTCACTCATTTTTGAGGAGACAAGATTTTAGAGTTCCTTACACCACCACTTCTATTGATGTCACTCACAAAAATTGACGTTGCTTTTATTTATTTATTTTTTAAAACAGAATCTCATTCTGTCACACTGGGTAGAGTGCTGTGGTGTCATTGCTTACAGCAACCTCAAATTCTTGGGCTCAAGCAATCCACCTGCCATGGCCTCCCAGAGTGCTAGAATTATACGCATGAGCCACTGTCCCAGCCAATTGCTTTTAATTATTTTTGGTTTCTAATGATTTATAATAAAACACATTACTGCTTCAATATTTCTGAACACAATTGTTAGTTACAAAGTGGATTAGATCAAAAGATGGCATTTGGAAGGTAAAGTCCAAGTTGTAGTGAAGTCCTTCACCCAGGAAATGTGCCATATACCCATACATTGTACCCTTTAGGTGGAAATTTACTGAACCCCAGCCACCCTTCTTGAATTTAATTTCAATTTTCTCTCATGTGGGCCTGTAGCAGTTCATCTACTAGTTTCAACTTGATATTGAGTACAAGTACATGGGATGCTTGCTTTTCCATTCTTGAAATACTTTACTTAAGAAATGTTCTCCAAATCCTTCCAGGTAAATATAAAAGATACAAAGTCTCTACCTTTTTTAAAATGGCTGAATAGCTTTCCATGGTACACCACAGTTTTTTGATCCATTCACATGGGTTATTTCCAAATCTTTATGATTGTGAATTGAGTTGCTATAAACATTCAAGTGCAAATGACCTTATGGTAAAATGATTTTTTAATCACATGTACACTCATATTAACTTTTTAAAAAATCTAATGAAATAAGGTAGTACTTATTTTTTAAAAGAAGAAAATGAGCCTAAGAAAGCAACTTGTCCACCACCAAATAGCTGTTGCTTCCAGAACTAGGACACTTTGCATTATGTCAAGCTAACTCTAGTTAATTTACTGATCTGTACTGCCCTGAATTTATTACTACTTCAACTTGCTTTTATTCCCTTCTTCAATTTGAAGCTTAATAAGTTTGTAGAGCTTACATATTTGAAGTGTATCAGATAATTAAAGTTCTAATATTAGTTCTGATATTATTTGAAATATGTTAAGAATTTAATGTATTGGTGTTTTCCATATCAGTATTCAAATAGTAATTTTATTTATTATGTCTTGTATACATAGCATTTACATACAGATAACAAAAGATCAAGCAAGAAAGATACCAAATGTCAGTAAGAATTGCCAAAATTATTCTAAAAATCCTTCTTAAAGTACCATGTTTCTCCCCAAATAAGACATTGTCTTATATTTATTTTTTGTCAAGAAGACACACTAGGGCTTATTTTTAGGGGATGTCTTATTTTTATTAAGTATAATACAACAATCTACATTTATTCAAATACAGTTAAGTCATCTTCTTCTGGAACCTGACAGGGGGAGCCAACCTTGTTGGTGGGGCTGGTGCTAGTGATGCGTGAACTCCTTTCCCCTAGCCATTTGCACATGTGCAATAGGATGCCTGCAACCATGGTTACCACACGTGCATCCCACAAGTGCGAATGCCTGGGAGAAAGATGCTTTGGCAGATAAAAGGTAGTCCAGTCTTCCTTACCACTCCATGCCAAAATGCATGGAGTACAGATATGGAGTGCAGATATCTAAATGCAGATATGGTTTATAGTCACACCCATCACTAGGTCTTATTATGGGGTAGGGCTTATATTTAACAAATGCATAGAAATCCTGCTAGGGCTTATTTTTTGGGTAGGTCTTATTTTCAGGGAAACATGGGAGCAATCCAGGTAAGCGTTCTGATAGTGCATTAGCCTTTGTGGTCCTACCCTAGGTAATAAAGTAACATTAAGGAAGTTTTGATCACAAAAGAGCAGTTTAAATAAATCATTATGTAAATTGGATGTTTTGTTAAAATTTATTTTATTTTTGGTTTGGGGGAAGTTTTTTCCCTTTTCTTTTTCTTTTTTACTTTCTTTCTTTCCTTTTTTTTATTGAGACAGAGTCTTGCTTAGTCACCCTGGAGTTGAGTGCCAAGGTGTTACAGCTCATAGCAACCTCAAACTCTAGGGCTTAAGTGATTCTTTTGCCTCAGCCTCCAGAGTAAATGGGACTACAAGCACCCACCACAACACCTCATTATGTTTAGAAATGGGGATCTCACTCTTGCTCAGGCTAGTCTTGAACTCTTGAGCTCAAGCAATCCACCTTAGCCTCTTAGAGTGCTAAGATTAGAGGTGTGAACCACCATGCCTGGCTAAAATTTATTTTTAAAGTAATTGCTTCAATTGAGAATTTAACATTAAGAAAAATAATCTCAAACAGTTTATAATCTCAAACAGTTATCTGAAAAATATTTATTCATTTAATTATGGTCCCCAATACCTTACATGATATTTTTGTATAAATAAGAAAAAAGAATTTCAAGTTAACATGTATTTTTTTTCTATAGTCACATTATAATAAAAAGGACTTATCATTTTAAAAAAAGATGGCTGTAACTCAAGTATCATCAAATGCTAGGTGATGTGTTAATGTGTGAGACAGGCTATAAGGGTCAGCAAAATAAAACATGAAAAGGTCACTGATGAGCTCCAAAACATGGACCATGAAAATAATTTCAAAAGCAATAAAAAAATTACATCTGGGGTAAAACATACATAAAGGAATTGAATTTTGTCTGTGATTCAGTTTTTATCATTTTTAATCTGTGCTAGATGTTTTCATTTTTTTTGTAGTTTAGATAATATTGATTTTTTTTTCAGCATGGTGGACAATAAAAAAATAAAGACAATTCACTATTCATGATCTTTTAATATCACTCATTTATAATGACTTGTCATTCTAAGTGCAGAGTTTGGAGTATGCTAAAACTTTTTAGTGTCATTTACATTCTACAGTTAAGAAATGTTCTATTATGTCCTCTTTACTGGCTGATTTGACAATTCCACATTTATCCAGTCCATGTTGTCTGATTATGATAAATACACAGATTTTCCCCTTAAGAAACACAGCTCATCCATTTTAATCAGAGACCTTTTTAAGTTAGAAAAAGATAGATTGTGCTGAACAATGCAATTATTTAAAGTCACTATTATCAAATTGTGTCTGGTTCAAGATGACCAATTAAGAAAAATGTCTCCTCTGTCTTTTCTCTGAAGAAATAGACTTTTAAAAATAGTAGTTTTAGCTTGACAGTAAAATTGAATAGAAAATACAAAGAGTTCCCTTATAACCTCTGCCCACCACACACTAACATCCTCCTCTGCTATCAACATCCCACACCAGAATGCCATACTGGTTACAATGAATGAACCAATGCTGACTCATCATATCACTCTAATTCCCTAATTTCCATTAGGGTTAATTCTTGGTGTTATACATTTTATGGTTACAACAAGTGCATAATGACATGTATCCACTACTATAGGGTTGTACGGAATAATTTGAAAAATCCTGCGGAATCTCCCTATTCATCCCTCTCTGTCCCCTTCCCTGGCAATCACTGAACTTTTTAATCTTCATACTTTTTTTGCCTTTTCCAGAATATCACAAAGTTGGACTTATACGCTTAAAGCTTTTCATACTGACTTCTTATACTTCGTAATGTGCATTTATGTTTTGTCCACTTCTTTTCCTGGTTTGATAATGCATTCCTGTTTAGAACCAAATAATAAATATTACATTGCCAAATTCCAGAGTGTATTTATCCATTCACCCACTGAAGAACATTTTGGTCTTTTCCAAGTTTTGACAATGATGCATAAAGCTGCTATAAACATCTATGTGCAAGTATTTGTGTGGACCTAAGTTCTTAGCTCAATTGTGTAAATACCAAAGAGCACCACAGCTGGATCAAATGGTTCCAATATGCTTAGTTTTATAAAATATTGTCAAACTGTCTTTCATTGTGGCTGTGCCATTTTGTATAGCCCACCAGCAATCAATAAGTTTCTGTTGCTCCACATCCTTCCCAGAATTTAATATTGCCAGTGTTTTGGATTTTAGAAATTCTACTAGACATGTGATACTATCTTAACTGCAATTCTCTTTGTATAATTTTGTGCATATTTATATGTGCTTTTTGGAAAAATGGAATGTGTTATGAATTCGTTTGTCATCTTTGGTCAGGGGACAAGCTAATATTCTCTGTACCACTCCAGTTTTAATATATATCCTTCTAAAGTAGGAACTGCTCTTTCTTTCTATTCCCAAGCTAAAGGATGACGTGAAATAAACAACAGAGAATAATGAGATGAAGTGGATTGTGCCATCAATGAAAACCATGTCTATTTCTATAAAACAGAAATGAGGACAGAAACTTGGAAATGGAGGGGAAAAAACCACAGGCATCTAATTCCATGGGCATCTGAGATTATAGAAAAGAGAAAAAAAACAGAAGGAAGGAAGTGCACTGTTAGACTGAATCAAAAAGGTACCCTAGGTTCAATGTTGGCAGATAGGAAATAAGGCATATCTGCAGAGTAAATATTTGCTTATAAGTGTATGTATATATTTATACATACACTTATGTATGTATGTATGTAGAGGTAGAAGTTATTGGAGCTTGGTTTCAGAAATCCTCAGCAAGTTGTCTTTCAATACTGAATTCCTCCATCTTTTCCTCCAGACTCAAGCCAAGTTTATATGGAATTAGGAAGTCGATTTTAAAATTGTAGAAAAAGTTTGACCCCATACTTATAGAAAAATGATTAATTTCTTAAGGAAAAATATTATTTTCAACTCATAATTTGATACTTATTATTTCAGAAATGTGAGATTGCATACTGTGTTTTATGCCCTGAGAATGAAACAGCCCAGCAAAACTGATTATGACTCTCAATAGAAGTTATATGCTAGTGATTGGAAAGAAAAACAAGAACAAATGCATAATATATAGGATTCAGAGCAATAAAGCCAAGTATCAGAAAGGGGAAAAGTGATTTGTCAGTTCTCATATTTTGGTTATTGACCATAAATTGTTTTTATCCTTAATACACGTGCCAAACACAAACTTTTCAAAATTAGCTCCTTGCTACCAATTCTAATAATCATTTGAAAGTCCTTCGTTATCCTGTGGGATTTAGGCAATGTAGCCTCTAGATTCAGATCATATTTGGCAACATAACACTATGAGCACTGCAGAGAACAAAGCCAAATGTAGCGTTCTAAATAATTCAGGTTTGTTTTTTTTTTTTAATTTTCAATTCTCATTTCACACTACAGTATTCAGAGCTCAAATTCTTTGTTAATTCATGAACTATAGAAATGATCCCTCAAAGTATAGTCTTTCCTTGCTAATTCAAAAGTAAAATTGTTTGATAGTATAATCAAGAGTACTTTTCATGCTAGCTTTTTAATTAATCACAACTTTAGTTTAAAAGTAATATTTCTCCATCTTTTCTGGTGTACTAAAATATTTCCTACACAGCCAGTTATAAGTGTAGTCTACCAGCATTTTAGAGAGACATACTTAAAATAAATTTTTAACGTACTCTCAGTAGAATATTACAAATATGTGGAAAAATCTGCATTTAATTTTTGATTAAATGGGTTAAGGATAAAACGGTTGAATAAAGATGTGCATAGTTCGACAGAAGACATTATCATTAATAAATAAGCTATCCTGACAACATTTTGAAGAATGTAATTTCGATTGTTATTAGTTACAGGCATTCATTAGTCATTGTAACTATGGACTTGCATTTCAAGTTTTAGACCATGTAGTAGTTTGCCAATCAAGGTCATCAGGCATTAGCTTTCATTTTTTTTGCTTTATCTTTTGTAACAAATACTAATATATGTAAACAACAAGAACAACAAATGATCCATGATCTCATTAAAGCTAATGCCAAGAAAGAACACTGAAGCAGGGTGAAGAGATTCACGTGACCTGCCCTGCTTAAAGGAGAACAAAGCTAAGTTAACACATTCGCCATCATGTGCATGATGAACTATTGTTTCAAGTTTTCACATTACACTTTACATTACTAATTTTTATGTTTTTATATTACGTTTTCATTAAGGTATGTTTGAGGCTCATTTTGTTTTCGACATTTTTATTCTGTTTTTGTAATAAAACACAGTGGTCCCAAAGGGGGAAAAATATATATTTTCTAGTGTGACAGTCAATGTGTTAAAACATCTTCAAAACTAAATTAATACATTTCAATCATCTTTTAAAATTTAAGAACAAAAATATTCTTTATTGTTATGAAATCTTTAAGAAGATTTTAGTGTCTCAAAGATCAAATCATTATATTTTGACTGCCCACGATGTTAAGCTTCCCAATCTAGAAATCCACTGATGGAATTTCAAAATAATATATTATCTAATTGAATGAATGAGATAAGTAATGAGAAGAGAAGGACTTTGATTCAATCTAAATAAAACATTGTATGTGGTGTCCTTATTTTTCTTCTTTACTGACTACAGCTCCCGCCTTTTTGAACTGGTTCATGCCTTTCCCTTTTCTCTTCTTGGCCTAAGAAATCTACAGCCACAAAGCTGCATCCTTTTATCTGGAGGAGCAAAACAAATGATTCCTCATGTGACAAAGTATCCCATATTCTGGAGTCTTGTAAATACCTTCCAACATGTTAATTATAGAGGAGAGAAGGGAAAAGGGAATAAAAAAGAGAACAATTGGAGTGACTTAAAATGTGACAGTACCCAAAACATAAGAAGTCTAGGGAATTTGGTTAACAATTACCTTATTTAATTCTTACAACACTCCTTTGGGAGACATACAAATATGACAAACCATTCAACCTTCTCCAAAATATAGAAAAAGATGGAATACTACCCAACACATTCTATGAAGCAAACATCACCTTGATACCAAAACCAGGTAAAGACCCAACAAGAAAAGAAAATTATAGACCAATATCACTAATGAATATTGATGCAAAAATATTCAACAAGATCCTAACCAACAG